GCTGGCGGTGAACAAAAACGGGATTGAAGTCAAGGGACAAGGGACCGGGGCGGACCCGGATGACTCAGACGCGGAGGAGGAACTACCGATCATGGAGGTCGGAAGATTGGCATAGGGGACCCAGGGCCCAAAAGAAAAGAGAGGGGAATAGGGGTAGGGTTTTACAGTTGCCTCGTGGTTATAACTTTCCCTGTACCTAGCCTCCTAGAGCCGGCGCAATGCGGCCGCATAGAAATGCCCAGCCACCGTCGCGGGCACGTCAGAGAGCCACAAGGGTGGCTGCTCGACGGGACTGGTACGTGCGTAGGCACGTGACAGCACCCGAGGCGCTGACGCTAATCGATTTTCTTTTCTTTTCCCCCTCTCGCCTGCAGTACGTCTGCAGCGAAATCTTGCGAATCTTTCCGCGTTTCACGCCTTACTTCCGCCCTCCTTGCCAGCCTGAGAGACGAAACGTTCAACGCAGTCATTTCGTTCTGGCAATAATGCCTGTGCCGCATGACGGCGCAGGTCGAGTCAAGCGTGTGCGGGCACTACCAGAGAAGAGCGTGTTTGACGACGTCGTATATCTCGGCACGGTCAAACGACATCATGCCCCACCGCAGAACGGCGACGACGACGTCGTATATCTCGGTACCGTCAACCGAGGTCACACCCTGGAAGAAGCGGTTTGCGTTGGTAGTTCAACCGTCCAGGATACGGCCGGAGGACGACCCGCGGACCAAAGAACCAAAGCCCGAGCGAGGACTTCGAGTAACCGGGGCCCTTCACGCCCGAAGCGCCCATCTCACGGAGGCGCTATATCGACGCCGCATCCCCTCCGAAACCGCCGGCGATCCAACGCGCCACACCGAAAAACCAGGATCCCTCCTCGCATAGTGGATGGATTGGTCAAATTGGGTTGGTCGCGACGTTTGGATAGGGGGCGGCAAGAGGTTTACGGCTCTTTCAGCCGCACCGGTCGCTTTTGTTACTGGCTTGATATTGCCAAGTCAGACCCGATTGCCCAGAAGGACGTTCAATATGTCACGCGCTTTGGAGGCATGACAGCGCAGCAAGTCAAAGCTGAAGTCTACCGTATCTTAGAAGCGGTGTCCAGGGATATCGGCGTTGTGTGAACTGGTACCGTTACGAACCGAAACCGATAGATCAGTCGAAGTTTGGGTTTGCAGCCGCCCGCACGGATCCGGGAGACGAGCCGTTCGAGGTGTGTTTTCTTCGACTGTGAACAGAGGCGAGACTTGATGCGACCAACCCAGACTGCCACGTCAGTATCAGCCGCGGCTCGGATAACAAGTTCATTCATGCCGCGATAGTGACTCGCTTGCTACAATAGAGCGAGGCGGCTCTGGTGTTCCCGGGCTGTCACACGTCTGCACGTATAGTGTCATTCGTATGTTGTGTAGCGTTGCGTGCTAGCCAAGTGAGGAGGAAAAGGGCGGGAGGTAGGCACGAAGGGGGGGGGGGTTAAAAGGAGAGGTGGGAGGGAGAAAGGGCGACCATCAGTTTACGTCTCGCCCTAGGTAAGGAGTAGAAGAGCCAGCCTCTTTAATCCCTGCATCCGGCCCCGCTTGGTTGCTTTTCGGACGCGCCTTGGAAATAGGAAGTACCCTTTCACGTCATGTACAAATTTTGGCGGGTCGAAAGCAGAACGCGGCAACCATCCCGGCATTGTTTGGCAGAGCTCTAGAATATCGTGGCCTAGCGCTCGTGCTTAAAACTGCAGGCCGGGGAGCGTGGGCACTGCCTTGGTGTGCTCGCGGCTGCTGAGACACCTCGACAGTGGTGGCCTACGAGACATCCATTATGACGGCGGTATGCAAGCACGGAGAGGTGGTGTATGACAAGAACTTTGGTTAACAAAACATTTCCATCAAAACGCTTGTTACGGGTGGTTGGTCTGAAAAGGGACCAACAACACTGCTAACAAATCGGATGGGGGTTGTGCCTTCGCTTGGCCTCTCTACGAACCTAAAAGCTAAGGTGGACATTGGCCCTGACTTCCGTCAACCCTAACTCGTCTGTCGAGTTCGCCTGTGGTTGCCTCTGTGGTAGGCGTCCAGCACCCTCGCCATCTGCTGGTACCCGCTCTTCTGTAGAGCGCTCACCTCGTCGTTTGTCGACTGAGGACCCCGCTCTTTGTGAGCATCCCTTCCGCCATCTGTTGGCGGAACCCGACAATAGCCATCACCTCGCCGTCTGTCAACGAGCCCGAGATGGCCACACCTACCGAGCTGCAGCGGTTACAAAATGTCCTCGACCGCCACGAAGCTGCCTTCCAGCAGGCCGACGCTACGATCCGCGATCTCCAAGCTCAGCTCGCAAAGCTCCAGGCTATTGTTGGCGCCAAGCCCGCTTCTCGCCCGAAACCCTGCCTTCCAGATCCCGACAAGCTATCTAGCCAGCTCCAATACGACACTTGGCTCCCAGGATCAAGGCGAAGCTCCGGATCGACAGAGATACAATCGGTGGCCCGGAGGCCCAGTTCTTCTACTTGTTTTCTCGTCTCGACGGCAAGACCAAGGCTTTCGTTCTTCCCCAGCTGAACGCGGTGGATGCCGACGATGGCGTTGCCCATGAACCGCAAACAGTCCATGGTCAACGGGTCGCATCTTCGAGTCTCCAGACAAGGCCCGCCGGGCTCAAGATCGACTTGCCGACCTTAAGATGGGTACCGACGCCTTCGCCGCTTACCTTTCACGGTTCGAACGAACTCTATTCGAAACCAAAGCAAATACTTGGCCCGAGGATGTCAAGATCTCCCACCTCCGTCGTGGTCTTTCCGGCT